TTGTCTATAAGTTGATTTCTATAAAATGAAATAAAGTGATACGTAACCCTTTTTTTTTTTTGTGTGTGTGTTTAAATTTACAAAATTTGTCAGATTTTTCCGACAAAGGAAAAAAAATTATAATAAAAAAACTCCCATTTTGCGTAATATATAGTCCAAAACGGAGGGATAAATAAATATATATTAAGATATCCAATTACCATTGTGAGTAGATAAGAAGTTGCGACCCATGCTATTTGATCCAATCCATTAAAATCGGAAACTATTTTAGGCAAAGCAGTGGCAACTATTGTTTGATCTAACGCAGCTACAAACATAGCACATCCTAGACTAGTATAAATAAAAACTAAATTAATATAATTGATAATATGAAAGCGTGAAAGAGCTGCAGGTAGTTAACGAACCCAAAAGTAACCAAAAATAATTCAATCCCATGTAATAAGTCTTCATTTTCGGCAGTCTGGGCTTCCTGATCGTTTACATTTTTTGCAGGTATTGTGTTTTCATTTGCGTCTGATACTAACGTCGATTGATGTTCAAAATTTATTTCACTATGTGGAGTAGATTGATTTTGTATCATTTTTTTATTTTTTTGCTCTTGCTAATTACTATTATAATTTATTCATTTAACACCGTAATATTAACTTTTACAGAAAAAGATGAATATACAAGTTAAAAAATTAACTAAAAAAAAAATCTATATTGTTCAATATCTTGGTCTTTTATAATTTTTCTCCAAAAAATAAGCTAATTGACGACATTGAAATAAAGCGCGGGATAAATTTTTCACCGGTCTCAAAATGATTGGCTCAGGAAATTATTCACAAACCTTCTTTCTAAAATAAGAATGCATCGTCACCAGTGTTTAAAATCTATCTGCGGTGCGATGATTGAAAATTCATCCCGCAATCAAATTTTCTTAGAATCTGCGGTTTTTATTATATGTCATGCATTACAAATCTTTTTTGGTTACATATCGCTTCACAGAAAATTATTATATAGGCATCTTATTTCATAGACAATGGCAAGTTTATTTTTAAAGACAATTAATTTACAGACAGCTCATTTCGTAGACAATTCATTTATCAACAGTTCATTTATAGACAATCTTTAATGCTGATTCAGGGGTAATTACTGTTAAAGATTGTCTATAAAATGAATTGTCTGCAAATGAGCTGACTATGGAATAAATTGTCTGTAAATTAATTGTTTTTAAAATAAATTTGTCTATAAGTTGATTTCTATAAAATGAAATAAAGTGATACGTAACCCTTTTTTTTTTTTTGTGTGTGTGTTTAAATTTACAAAATTTGTCAGATTTTTCCGACAAAGGAAAAAAATTATAATAAAAAAACTCCCATTTTGCGTAATGATTAGCGGTTAATAATGTAAGGGTAAGAACAACAGGATATAGCATATGTGGTAATTGGCCAATAATTCAGTTATGATCAAGCCTAATGTAACACGATCAGGAATAATGCAAAGTTGATGTTCCATTTTTAAAATTGTTCTTACCGCAAGAATTCACATAACAAACCGACTTTTGTGCTCTAACGAAAATTTTTTGATATACAATTACATGATGTCGTCTTATTGAGCGATTGTACAACCCGATTTTTAACGAGTATAACTATGCCTAACAAAATATGATAACAACGCATTCTTATTGAATTTTTGGCTAAGAAATCGCAATAATTCTTCCATAATGATCCTAATGCTTATCGTAAATTTAATGAATAAGAAATACATTTATCATCACGTGTGCGGAAATAGCCGTCTTTCAGGTAAGAGTATCGTATAATCCATCAAAATAGTAAAAAAGATTTAAAGCTCATTAATCTGAGCACGCAGTAAGGTTGATATTCTAAGAAATAGAGTAATTTTTACAAACTGGCTTATCTCACGTTCTTACGATTAGAATAAAGTCAATTTTACAATAACAAAGATTTAGATTAGAAATCGAAGCATCAAGCCTAATTACTAAAAATCTATTTGCAGATCCGTGATATTTCGGTAGTTATATTGACGTATTGTCAACCCTAAGATTACCGTTTTGGTATGTTACATACGTAACAATGTTTATATATAATATTCTAATAGACAAATTGATTGTTATACGTATACGTATATATTTCAATAGATATTTTTAATAATAAAAAAAAAAATTTTTTCTGAAAATGGAAAATATAAATATTTAGCCTGTTCTGCATTATCGTAAAGTGCAAAAATTCCCTGCATAATGCACCAACATACAAACAAAGTTTGCAGTCATACATGATATTCAGTTTAACCTAGTATACATATATGGTAACAATGCTAATAATGCCATGCTAATAAATATTATAACTGCCAGCAAACAAGCTCTATTTTACACTGGTCCATCTGCCCTAATCCAAGTTTGTTATACAACCAAATACACAACTCATTACAATCTATCATAATCCCCAGTAAACTTCAGACCTCACTGGCTATAGTCAACCAATTACATACTCAAATCATTAATCTTGACAGTCTTCAAATACATTATCATTTACATAAACCCTCAATTTTTTCTACACTCTCTGGCCTTATCCCATTCGATATTATCTATACAATACGTGAATTTACTACATCAAACCAAATAGCTACTTCACTTACTATACAATTACTTCTACAGATTAATAAGCAACTATACATCAATATCTGGATACCATACTGTAGTTCAAGACCTCAACCCCAATCTGTAAATACCTCATCTTCTACGTCATCAGCAAACATACCTAATTCTCTATCTATAGCTAATTCTTACTTAGAACTTGAGTTTCTTAAGCTAGTTTCAGATCTCTAAGTTTTGTGTGTAGGTACTTTTAATATTTTTGTTTTTTAGAAGGATTATTGTGGGTTAGCACCAATATAGAAAATCTTGTGTTCTCATATTCTCATGAGAACATATCTTTATATTTGAGAACATTTAATATTTGTAAATGTTCTCTATGAAAAAAAATTTGAGAACATAATACTTAAAAATTTTGTTCTCTATATAAGTATTATATAAATTTTAAATATAATAAAATAATTTTAGAGTTTTATAATTTATCACCGTAGCGATGTATCACTAGTATATGCAAAGTTTCAAATTGTGGTTACAACCATGATTTGTAAGCAAAATTTCAAACTTCGCATAGATTAGCGATACATCACTACAGCGATAAATTATAAAGCCAATAATTTTAAACCTTATAAAACAATTTATAAAATTATTAATTTTATTTAATTTAGTAATTAATATTAATTATATTAATAATAATAACTAATAATTAATATTATAATTTTATTATTACTTGAAAATATATTTTAAATTTAAAATGAAATTGTTGCTTAAATATAAAATAAAAAAAATAAAAGTAAAAATAAAAGAAAAAGAGAAAAAAAAGAAAAAAAAAAAGAAAAAAAGAAAGAAAAAGAAAAAAGAAAGAAAGAGAGAGAAAGAGAAAAAAAAAAGAAAAAAGAAAAAGAAAAATAGAGAAACTATAAATTTTTATTATAAGAACATAAAAAATTTTTTGAGAATATTAAATTAAATAAACATGTTCTTATGAGAACATAGATTTTAAAATAGATTTTCTACACTGATTAGCACTGCCTATCTGGTTTGTATTCCTTTATACAATAATATGAATACTTCCAAAAACTTCTAGCACCCAGAGGCATTGGTGTGACCCAGTAACAAGTTATAAACCCAATATAATTTAAAAGATTCATCACTGTAATATAGGTAATTTTGTCCAAAATATTGCAAGTGGGATTCAAACTTAGTATTATAGTTAAGCTAGCTTGGGGGTGTAACAACTTTACTACTTTACTAAGTCACCACACTCTTTATATTTAATTCGTAATCTACCTAAGAACCAGTGACAAAATATAGTAAAAAGTAGAGATATGTTTACTATATAAATTTTGCCTTTTTTGGAATCTGGTATTTCTCCAAGGAAAACATTTTTCTTTACTAAATAAATATCTTTTCAAGCTCTAAGTAAGTTGTAGAGGATTGTTTTGCGATCAAAATAGCAGTTAAAACATTAAAATTGGCCTAGTAGATCGCGAGATACAAGTACTTTAGTCTTTGAGACTACATGTTTTCTTCTTTATTTATAAAGAAGAAAACATATAGTCATGAAGACTAAAGTACTTATATCTCGTGATCTAATAAACCGATTTTAACATTTTCAACCACTATTTGATCATAAGATACTCCTCTACAACTTTACTTAGAGCTTGAAAAGATGTTTATTTAGTAAAGAAAATTTTTTATCTTGGGGAAACGCCAGATTCCAAAAAAAACAAAATTTAATAGTAAATATCTCTATAATTTACTAATTAATTTTACTGGTTCTTATACGGATCACGAATTAAATATTATTATTATTTTTTTTTAAATATTAAAGGTGAGACCATGCTCTTATCTTTATTAGACTTAATGAAAACTTTTTATATAATTGAAAAAGGTTTTATAGTTTAAGACTATTGCTAAGAATAAGAAC